GGCGGCGGTGGCGGTGGCGGTGGTGGCGGCGGTGGCGGTGGTGGAGGTGGTGCCGGTGGTGGTAGTAGACAGAACGCGAGGGAGTCCCTGTCGGTGATCGTGCCACCTCAGGACGTGGACGTGGACTCGCGCGACGCCGACTCGGAGCTTCTCAGTCCGGGCAAGCTAACGCCGACGTCGGGGATAAGCGTCTCGGTCGCGAGTATGATCGACGCGACGGACTTCAGGGCGATGCAGCCAGAGCCGACCTATCAGACACTGACCTCGGTCGCGGAAAGGATGTCGCCGCCCGGTTTCAGTCCGGGTTCCTCTTATGCGACCCTGACGCCCTTACAGCCGTTACCGCCGATTTCGACGATGAGCGACAAGTTTGTATACAGTGCACACGCGGCTGGCGGCGTCACCGGTAGTTTCGCGGTCATGCAAAACAACGGCCTCGGCAACATCGGCATCGGGATGGGTAGCTCGCCGTACGCGTACGACAAATTGCCCTCGATGAGCATGTCGCCGCCGCACAATTATCCTTCGCCGGGCGCGGGCCTTCAGCCGAGTCCTTTGTCGCCGCAGAGCGCCTACAGTCAGAGCGGATTGAACTCACCGCACAAGTCCGCCAGTCCTCACTACGATCCGGCCTTTTTGCCGAGGTTGCAGCAAAGTCCGGCGGCGTTGAGTCCATCTTCGCCGCCGTCCGTCTCGGCGACGGCCAGTTTCGCGCCTTCTCATCATTCCCCGCCCACGCATTCGGTGCCCGCTGCCTCGCCACCACCTATGCAGACCCAGCTGCAACAGCAACAGCAGCAGCAACAGCAACAGCAACAGCAGCAGCAGCAGCAACAGTCGATGCCGCAACAGACGATATCGCACACGCAGCACGTGCAACACACCTCGGTTGTTATGAAGACCGTTTCGTCGGCTGGCAACGGAGCCGGTGAGGTCGAGGAGATCAACACAAAGGAGCTCGCGCAGAGGATCAGCGCCGAATTGAAGAGGTACAGCATACCGCAGGCGATATTCGCCCAGAGGGTTCTTTGCCGTAGTCAGGGGACGCTTAGCGATCTACTGCGCAATCCGAAGCCTTGGTCGAAGCTCAAGAGCGGCCGTGAGACCTTCCGACGGATGTGGAAGTGGCTACAGGAGCCCGAGTTTCAGAGAATGTCGGCCTTGCGGCTAGCAGGTTAGTCCATCCGTCGAAATATCCCCCACGATACAACGACACGCTCCTTTTTTTCATCACCTTTGTCTTTGCTAACCTCTCTAACTGGAATAGTGTCTCGACTATATACTTATAATTGTATATTGTGTCTAACTTTCTCACAAAAAAAAAAAGAAAAAGAGAAAAAAAAATAACAGAAAGAAACGCGCTATCGTCTCGAGCGCGCGCTCGCGTCTAATCCGCGAAACGCGGTCTAATCCCTGATTCACGCGTTCCACGCATATATCGTTGTCGTTTCCCGCGACGAATTCAACGTGTCGCTCGAAGATTTGGGAATCTTCCAGTTATGGAATATGGATTCCCAATTCTCGAACTTTACCTTCTTACTTTAATCTTACCTTTGCCAATCGCGAACGCGAAACGCTTACCTATTCTATTCACCCCATTCTCGAACTAGTCTTTATAGCTCCACGCCGAGTCGCACTTTGCTTGGACATTTTTCAAGCTACTCATAAACCTTTCGTACTGCAACATCTCCGTAGAAAGCTAGTCTATACTGTAAGAATTCTGCTCTACTCCCCTTTGAATCCTTAGAACTTTTCAAAAATCCCGAGATCGAAACTCGATCGTAACAATCTGACCTATTTGAAAAACAACGACAAATACCAAAGGATAGGATATCGTGCGTGCTCGAAGATGTCCGGACGACGGGTGTCGCACGACGGTGTCCCGATGAAAATCGCGCAGGTAACGGAGAGTCGGAGGACAGAGGAATAAAGAGAGGAAGCAGGGCGGTCTGCGTGTTTTGGAGCCGGCCAGACGAAATCGGACAAGCGCGTGCACGCGCGTAAGAGACGCGGGCGGAAGCCGCACACGTGGCACCCACGTGGAGAGGCGTTCCCTTCCATATCATTCAGAGATAGACGCGCGGAATAACACTTTTCGAATTCAACATCCTTTGCCCCGGCACAACAGCGCGTACAGGTATTGATCGTGGTCACGCGGTGTTCGCGGCCAGGCGCAGACGCGACCTCGACGACGCCATGTTCGCCATGCCGCCGCCACGCTGTCCGCCAGCCCCTCTCCCGCCTTCCGGCAACCCTTATCCCCTGTCCAGCCGAGGAGCGTGTTATCTTTGGCTCTGTGCGTTTTCGCGCCGGTGCGTGCATCCTTTGGTTACATCTTCAAGATTCTCAGTCGAATGGATCACTCGCGACGATGGAATTATTTCCATTATTTTACGATTTCCCTTTTTCACTGACGATCGCATCTTTTTTTTAATGACCCCCGTCTCGTGATTTTAAATTGATGACAAGGGTCATCAGGTGATAGAATTCCTTTCATTCCATGATTTTGGATTATTGCATCCGTGCTGGAACAGGTCATCTTAAAAATAGCATCCCTTCCATTTTACGATTTTACCGTATTGACGGATATTTATATGTGCACGTTCTTCGCGATTTTTATTAACATTATCACCCTGTGACGGAATGTCTTTTATATTTTACGATTTCACGCCGTTGTTCACGTTATTTGACGACCTTCCTCAATATTTTCACTCGAAAATATTCGCGATAAAATTTCTTCTACACCGATACTTTTATTGGAATTATCATCCCATTTTACAATTTTGCGTGCACGTGTCAGTCATTTCCTTCATAATTTTCTTAATTCCTAATTACTATCTCACGGCGAAATTTCTTCCGTATTCGAGCGAAGACTCTGACGAGATAGAGTTTCTTTGATTTAGCGACTCATTAAGAAATTTCTCCCGTTTGTTTTGACAGGAGATATATAATGAAATACTTATAATTGCATGCCTGTTTAGCGACTTTGGTTCTCTATATTGGAAATTTTGGTGGGATCTCAATAGGAGATGTTGACGTAGGATATTGGATTCTCGGTTTGTTTAGGTAACAGGATTTAATGACCCGCTGAATCGTTGATTGATGGTCCAAGTTACAGCGGCTCGTGGTTTTAGTTCGTACAATTAGAACAAGTTCTTTAAGTTCTAATCATCTTCTTGCGATGTTATATATCGATAGGAATTTATCAATTATTTTCCGCTTGTAATTTTGTTCACAACGTTACTAGTGATTACTTGAAAACCAATACAGTTTCGTGTAAAGTGGTCCAAGTGTCATGATGTTTATCCTACTGTAAATAGTATGTAGTATACACATGAATTCAAAGTGTTAAAACGGTATTTCAATGTCTTTATTCAATACTCGAATTGCACGTAGTTTAACACTCTAACATCTTCAGTGTTAAAATGAATATAATTAGTCCAATGATATTTTCATTAGAAATTTTTCATTTTAAGTTGGCAAGTAGACTACGGGTATTTATTGCAGATTCATATTTTTACGAATATAATTTAAAAAAATGGAATCCAGGCAGATTTGAATTGTTTTATTTATTAAATGTTCTAACGAGCAAACGAGCATCCTAATTTAATGTATTTCTGCATCTTTAAATTTCCGACGACCGCATGAAAACTGCGCGATCTAGCCATAAAATTTGTTTCAATGCGCCAACTCTTCCTACTTGTTCTTTTTTTCTCTAAATAAATTTTATATCTAAATGAAACAATTACTTAATGCTACATAATTTAAGCGTACGTTGTTTAATCGATAGAAAATTTCTCTAACTTCCCGAACCCTCGAACGAATCCTGGTTCGGCACTAGTTTCAAAATGATCAAATCGAATCTCCGTACCAAACGCGAAATGACTTCTCCGATTCACACTGTCGCGCATGTATGGCAAAGAAGGTCAAGACAGAGAGGTGGCGGAGGGTCAGAAATAAGAAAAGCAAACTCACGTTCAGGGAGGACAAACATTTCTCTCCCAGGCAACGGGCTCCATTCTCACCCTCCTTCCGTCGTTCCTTTTGTACGACGGCAAAGGCGTAAAGATAATGTCGAGGAGGGGCCAGTAACTATTCTGTAGCCAGTCGAAGCTCTTCCTCCATTTTCTCTTTCGCTCTTTAAAGCCTCGCGTAAGGGTCGCGGAAAGGCCGGGAGCGGGGAGCCGAAAGAAACCGTGGAAGAAAAGGTGGCAGTAGCAAAGGGTTCGTTGAGGAGACAATGCTGCGAGAAGAAGGGTTCGATCCAGTGCCCTTCAGATTAGAGTCTCCGCCATTGTTTCCCACGTTTCTTTCTCGCTCCGTTTCCAAGTGTCTCGGTGTCGTCTCATTAAAAACACGTTCGAAAGTGGCGCGCGCGTGCGCGCGCGAAACACAGGTGGTCATCCTCCTTGGGAATCCTTAGGATCTTTGGCATATCGTTTTCTCAGGAAAATCCACCATCGATGTGTTGTTTCATCGATTTCTCTCTCGCTTCTTTTCGAATATGGAGGAGATTTAGGAAATTTAGGAAATTCGTGTGCAGAAGAATTCCATTTTATTCCACAGTGTATGTAACTAGAGTTTATGTTGCATTACTCTTTTAGCTAAATAATTAATTATTCTGTCTCGCTGAAATATTGGATTATTAAACGAAATAATGAATAGGTAATTCAGACTGAATTAAGAAAATTGCAGATAGGATTTTTAATTATGCAACAGAACAAGAATTCACTGATTGTATGCATTACAGTTTGAATATAGAAATTCATGTTTAACTAAGTGGGAAGAAAAATTTTGTTCCAGTAAGCAGATAGCATTTGTGAAAAATTTAAAGAATTTGAACAAGGTGCAAAAATATCCAAGAAGAAAGTATTAATATTTGATAAATCTAGATAATCTATTCAAATTCTATTTCTTTAGCTTATACCGACAATTTTGCTTTGTGTGTTTGGAAAGTCATTTTAAATAAAAAAAGATTGTACTAAAAAGTTTTGATTCGTTTGTCCTCCATTTATTAATTATTGTTTGTTATTATTATATTCATTAATTATTGGTATATTAATAGTCTATTTCTAACTATTATGTTTATAACAAATTTCACATTTATATAACTGGAATAAAGAAATAATTTTTTATTTTTCATGCATCCTTTTTCAACCGTGTAGATTAAACGAGGCGTTCAAAATGGCAAGCTTTCTTCTGTGAACGTAGATTTATTAAGTTTTCATGGTCATTGTCAGTTCATTCTATTAATTTTACTTCTAATACCGTTAAGTATTGCTTGTAATAGTTCTTTACGAGTTTCTGGTGTACACTGCTTCATGGCGAGAAAGTCATCATTTTGAATTTTCATTTCGAATCTTTCATACGAGTAAAGAAAAAGATATAAAATACGTGAAAAGTAAAAAATAAAATTTCCAATTATAAGTAAATTAAAAAAACAAGCGAATCAAAACCCATATACGTCCTTTTTTGTCCAGAATGACCTACAAAACATACTAATAGAATTATTCTACATTCTGTACGATGCATACATAGAAAACACATAAATGTTCGAATACTTTCGTGAGAAACTGTACATACCTGCGTCGCTACACGATTGATCCCTTCTTCTTTTTTTTTTTTTTTGTGACTTTCTCCGAACCAAAGACTTGAATTTCCTTAATAAAGGAAACTAGAATTTTTACGAATGTACTCTGAGGACTACTACGACGTGCAGAGTCTAAGAACGCTTTCGTTTCGCGGCAACTCGTATACGGCCTCGTAAATGATTCAGAGCGAGGATCGATGGGAAAGCGGTGCTAATTCCAGTATCTTCGGTTGTACGCTCGCAATAATGGACGCACAGTTGTAGTAATAGTCGCATCGATCGTGCCGCGAACTCCGAAGATACGTTTCGCCAGTTTCTTTTTTCTTTCTTTCCGCAAGCGTACTTTCCACGTACATATGCACGTACGAATGTTCGACGACGTCCCAGTTGAATCTTCGGCGAACGAAAGCCAATTTAGACTTTCGATCGGTCTAATTTCGAAACGAAAATTCGGTCGAAGGTGGTTATAGAACGCGGTCGTGCCTTCTTTCTTCTCTCTTTTTTCTTTCTTTCATTCAAAGTTCCCGACGCGACGCGCTCTAGCGTGTCTTCCCGCGAACTCGCAACGTTTTCCAACGGGATAGAAGGTATTCGTGCTGACGCCAGGATCGATTGTTCTCTCGATTGTAAAAACGCATTTGACGTGTTTCACTGTTTTCCTTTTTTTCTTCTTCTTCTTCTTCTTCTTCTTCCACTCTCTTTTTCGTGCTCGATTTATTCGTAGATCGTGGAAACGTCATCGGCGACCTCATTACCGTTCAACGTGTAACCTTGCGGCGACTTTTTTCCCCTGAAAGAAGCAAGCCTCTAATTTGAACTTCGT